TTTCATTTTACAATATTAAAAGACTACATTTGTTAACATCACCACCATTTTCACCAGAAAAGTCTTTAAGTATTGGGAAGCTGTTAAGTTCATGATGAAGGATACAAAATTCTAATTTTCAAATTTCCAAAATTCTGATTTTTGCCTGAAAGCTTGTATTTTGTCATTGGCCACAAATAAAAAGATGTTTTCCTTGAAGTGACGGGCTCATTTTGTTCGTTTTTTGAGAAAATGTCTGGCAGTTTCCAAGTCTGAATAACCAGTTTGTCAGTCATTCTTTCAAGTAAAATGATGTTCCATGAGAAAAACTGGCTTCCTTTTCCTTTGATTTTAACTACTCTTATCCAGGAAAATCTAGAATACTGTATGTTTCTCAGGCCAAGACAGAAAGGTCTTGGGCCTGGTCAGGTGAGGGAGCAAAGATAATGATTTTAATGACTGCACATGCCAGCCCCCTGGGCTGGGAGTGGGCACAGTCTAGGGTTCACCTGGCTCCTTGACTGCCCTGGGGATGTGCATGCTAAAACATGGATCCCCTGTGTGAGTAATCCCACACTCTCAGAGATGCTGATTTTGCCTAGAGTGAAGCAGAATTTAATCTTGGAGCTTTTTTGAGCAGATCCCAAATCTAGAAAACCCTAGAATCTTTCCTTGCTCTTTCCCCCATCTTATACTTAGGACTAGACCTTTATCTGGAGAGGCTCTGAAATTTAAATTAAAGTGAGAAGGAATAATTGTTGCCCAGGGCTGCTGGGTTTAAGGATCAGTTCCCTAGGCTTTGTGATGAAGAAAAATGGTTGGGTGTTTCATTCATTCGATAAACATTTATTGTTCATGTTCTTGTGTGGGAATACTGTGCCTGATGTTAAAAATGCAGCTTGAGAATAGCTAGTTGAAAGCCTGAGTTGACTTCGGGGCATAAGGGATCATGATTGCCAGGAATTTGAAAAATGGCAGGAGATTGCAGTCAAAGGGAATTCTGAACCAAGAGCTTTTCTCTGCCAAAGCAAAAATTTGCAGAAACAGTGGTAGTACTGACTGAATATAACATCTCCAGGTCTCGGGATTCTCACCACCCTCTGGCAGTAAAAATGAAAATGTCAGAGAAAAAACTCCCCAGGCCCCACCAGGCATTGTATTCAGGGGCAGACACCAAGGCTTAGGATTAAAACAGCTTTGGGAGTAGCCCCAAGAATTGCGGCCCAGAAAGAGCTCAGGTATACCAAACTCAGGACAGTGAATAACTAGATTCCAACGTAGCTTTTTATTAAGAACAGAATGGCCAAAGGGCCTAGGTAATAGATTGTCTACTGCATGGAACCCTTGGGCTAAGTTTTGCACCTCTAATGTCACTTAATTCTCTGAGCAACCTTATGCAGTGTAGGTAGTATTATCCCTGCTTCAGTTAAGACCTAATTAGCTTGCCAGGCCCTGTGTTTTCTCCCTCTAACTGGAAAGACAGCCTGTCCTGTAAATTTGCTTCCATTGATGGCTAATCTCATTTATTATGTGGACCAGTTTGGCTCTAGGAAGGGCCACATTATTTCCGTGAATGAGGCCATCTCATTGTAATCCCCAAGGAATGTGATCTTCCACTCTTCCACACTTGAGATTGGAACCATCCAGGTGAAGGTCCAGGGTAGGGAGATGGCCTTTCTCTGTGAGAAGCAAAAATTTCAAAATTTCAAGCAATGTCTTGCTAAGCTGTACTGCCATGGTGATATTTAACAAATCTGATTTAGCCAGTATGTGCCCAGCTGATCCCATGCCCTGTGCTACACTGTGAGAGATCCAGACAAGAATTAGACTTGATGCTTGCCCTCTAGGAGCGCAACCTAATAGAAGGGACAGGAAATGCAGGTAAATAAATAAAGTGGAAGGCACAGATGCTGTAAGCAAGGCATAATGTGCTGTGGAGATATGGGGAGGGGAGAGGAAAGCTTGGATGAGGTTGGGTTTAAGCCCTGCCCAGCTACTTATTGGTAAACTTGGGAAGGAAGGGGGTTTGAGGCAGAGGATCCCCGTTAGCAAAGGCATGAGGTAGGGGTAGGAGAGTATAGAGAATATTTGGGGAACTTAAAGAATGACTTTATGGGGTAGAGGGCGGAGATTAAGATGTCTGAAAGTCACCTTAAATTCATTCCACATGAAAGATGGTTGCATTCTTATAAAATATAGTGACCGTATTTTCTATATTTTTCAAGCCTAGTCCTGATTTTAAATGTTTCCCATCACTCCTATCATATTCATAATTAGTATCATATGTTGAGGCAACATATTATGGGCCTGGCACTGGACTGGGTGCTTCGTCCATTCCATGTTCACAGCCAACCCTACAAGGTAGGACTTAATCCCGTTTTACAGATGAAGAGACAGAGACTAGAACTTGCCCAACATCCTATAGCTGGTAAGTGGTGGAGGCCCAAGATGAGTGCCAAAGCCAGTGTCATTTCCACTGCACCCGGTGCCTCCCACAAGTACTTTGGCACTAGGTACAGTCACACTGATCACACGTTCAACTTATAAAGAATTCTGTATATGCTTTTAAAAGAAAAAAAAAAACACTTAGTGAACATTGCCATATATGTTATACACTTGATATCTTGGTTGTGCCAAAACTATATATACTGTACATCACAGGCCATACAAAGAATTTCAGAATAATTTTACTCAGACAGGATTTTCCTCTTATGTAGTAACTTTAGAACCTAATACCCAAATGAAATGAAACTCTGTTGTAGCAAAACTACACGTCCTGGTGTTTTCCTTAAGAATGTGGTCACCATCAGCACAGGGAAAGGGACTTGGATGTTGGCCTCATCTCCTCCCTCTGGAGTTACTATGGCACCTAATAGGTATGAAAAGTTTCCTGGGTACACTTCTCAAAAAGGCCTCCTTGACTTCTCTGAATACCATCCTTCTCCATCAATCTCCCACCCTTTCCATGAGATACCACTAGTGGGTTAGAAGCTCTGTCCTTTTACAGTTGCAGTTAAGCAGCTGCCTTGTCCACTGAAACGTTCCCTTGACAGAAACTTTTTAGGCAGTATCTCACATAGGTTCCACATATAGGATTTCTCTCTCTCTGGTACTCTTTTCCAACGTCCTTGTTCTTCCCCAGATGTTTCATTATGCTTCTGGTACTATTTGGTTCCTTTCTTTTTCTAGAAACCAGAGACCCAGATCAGTGTAATTGTAACATCACAGATTTAAGGATACCCTGATGCCAATTTATTGTGAGAAGGTGATTTTATTCGAGAAAGATGATGGCATTTATTTTCATGGTAGGATGAGGATGGTACCCTTATTTCTTTGCTTAGGCCTCTGCAAATACCTGCTACCTAGTGGTGGGTAAGTTTGGAAGGTATATCAGTTAATACAACTATTGCATGTAACAAACCACCCCAAAACTTGGTGGCTTAAAACAACCCTATTTATTATTTCTCATGAGTCTCTGGGTTGACTGGGTGTTTCTGTCGATCGGGGCCGGCTTGGCTGATCTTAGCTGGGCTCACTCATGTATGTGATCCACTGGCCCATCAGCGAGGAAGACTCAGATTTCTCCACACGTCTCTCACATCCCTCCAGCAGCTAGCCCCGTCATGCTCTCATGGCAGGCAGAGGTGCAAGAGGGAGCAAGCCCAGCCATGCAAAGAAGCAAGTAGAAATGCATACATACTTTTCAACCTTATGCTGGCAGCAAATTTGCTAACATCCCATTGGCCAAAGAAAGTGACATGACCAACCCCAGTGTCAGAGGGTTCTACGAAGTTACAGAATAGCCCTGGAAGCTGTGGCATTCATGGTATAGTGGTGAGCATAGCTGCCTTCCAAAGCTGCAGAAAATAGGAAAGCCACTAATTGGGGTCATTAAATGTAATCAGTCTCCCAATCAGTACCCCTCAATATGACATAAAAACCTGTAGACTTATATTTCTATGTCATTTGTCCTAGAAGGAAAAAAAAAAAAGTCCAAGTAATAATTACTGGGTATTGGGCCTATGCTTTGAGCATGCACAGGGCTAGGCACTTTCCCTGTTTATGCACTGAGTTTCGCATCAACTCTGCAAGGTAGGTAGGGAGTCAGAGCTCAGGAAGTCTAATAACTTGCTCAAGGTCACCCAGCTAATGTGTGCTCAGGCAGGCATTAGAATGTGGCTCAGTCTGACCCCCAAAGCCCAGGTCTTTTCACCATACCTCACTGCCTCTCGGAAGCACCAGGGTCTGTTTTACCCTTTCTCCAACTCAGTTTTCTATTGAATTAATGCTTTCTGATGAATTATGCAAACCCCTCCACCAAAATGCTGCTGTGATCGTAATGGAATTGTGTGGCTTTCGGGAAAGCCACGCGTTCTCCCAAACTCAACATTAACTGAAAGGATCTCCCCAACCCCCAGGTGGGGATTGGTCTGTGGACTGCACAGACAGCCCAAGAATTGTGGCCTCTCCTAGACATACCAGAGAAGGAAGGGGACCTTCCTTTAACCTTTGTAGGGCATTTGAGCATGAGCTTTGAAGTCAGCCGGAGTTCAACTCTTAATTCAGCCACTCACAAGCTCTATAACTTTGGGCAAGTTACTTAACTTCTCGAAATCTGTTCCTTCGTCTTAAAAAATAGAATAAGGGCGCCTGGGTGGCTCAGTTGATGAAGCGACTGCCTTCAGCTCAGGTCATGATCCTGGAGTCCCAGGGTCGAGTCCCGCATTGGGCTCCCTGCTCAGCAGGGAGTCTGCTTCTCCCTCTGACCCTCCCCCCCTCTCATGCTCTCTCTATCTCATTGTCTCTCTCAAATAAATAAATAAAATCTTAAAAAAAATAAATAAAAATAAAAAATAAAATAACACCTAGTTTGCAGAGCTATTACAAGGACTAAAATTATGTATAGAAAGTGCCTAACCCAGTGCCTGGCATATAATAAGTGAAGTTATTAGTATGGTTAATACTATTTCTAAGCAGAGCCTTTCCCCTCCTGGGAAACCCTGTTTCTGTCTGTTGGACAGGTCCCCCCCACCTCCACCCAGTCTGTGCAGACTTGCTGCCTGCTATGTCATCGGGAACGCAAAGGCTGGGAAGAAGGCCCTTCCCAAAACGGACTGGTGTTGCAGGGTGAGAAGCTGCCCCCTGACTTCATGCCAAAGCTTGTCAAGAATCTCCTAGGCGAGATGCCTCTATGGGTCTGCCAGAGTTGCCGAAAGAGCATGGAGGAAGATGAAAGGCAGACAGGTCGAGAGCATGCAGTGGCGGTAGGTAACGGCTGAGAAGGGGGTCCCTGAATGCAGGTGGGCTGCCTGCCCAGAGGCATCAGGCCGTTGAGCTGTTCCTTCCCTGCCCTCTCAGGTGGCGCTCCTCCGGCAGCCCCTGCACCCAGGCACTGAGTGGCTGCTGGGCTGTGTCCACACAGCAGTAGCGGCTTGGGTTCACACTCGGGGCAAGAACGGAGAGGCTGCAGGCAGCCCCCTTGCCCCTGAGGAGAGCCTGTGCAGTGTGAGTGCCTGCTTGTAGGTACTGTCGATGGAGATTCTGCCCCTTCTGTGTCACCGTGCTACCTTCAGCCCTGTGACAGCTTAAAAGCCAACCAGTATGTGATGGATGGCAAAGGTTGGTTTGAGGGTCGACCATGTGCCTCAGTTAGAAGGAGCCATCTAAGTGGCATCTCCTGAATCACAGCAGTCAGACTTTCCTTGGTTCTCATTCCCCTCCAGCCCCTCTCTTTTACCCCAGGATCATGTCAGCTTCAGGACTTTTGACTTAAAGACCCTTCCTTTCCTTGGCAGCTCTCAGGACTCCCCAAAGGCCCACAGTTGACAGGCAGTCTGTATCTCTACCAGTCTCTCTCACCAGTATCCACACACTTCACTTTACTGGGAGCATCACTGCCCCTCCCGGCAAAGGCCTGATCCATGTCTGCCCGTGCACCTGGAGTTGTGGGAATTGTACTTTGGCCATGGCACAGGGCCTGGAGGAGGAGGTGCTCCTGAGTAAGCTAAGGCAGCAGCGGGTCGGCTCTCATGTTTGCTGTTTTACCATGAGCCTTTTTCTTCCCCCTTCTCCAGATCTCCTTGTCACACACATCCTGCAAATCACAGTCTTGTGGGGGTGACTCTCATTCCTCTTCGTCCTCCTCTTCATCGTCCTCGTCCTCCTCCTCCTGCCATGGGAACTCAGGGGACTGGGATCCCAGCTCCTTCCTGTCAGCACATAAGCTTTCAGGCCTCTGGAACTCTCCGCACTCCAGTGGGGCCGTGCCGGGTAGCTCACTCGGGAGTCCTCCTACCATCCCTGGTGAGTCTCTGAGCTCGGGAGAGAGCCAGGCCACATAAATGTAGAGAGCTATGTTTTTCTAACCACTTCGATAGACAAATCAGGTCAGTTATTAAAATCAGTAAAAGAGGAACTGTTCTGATGGAAGCAGGGGGTACCTTGCCCTTGGCTGTCTCCATGGCGCTCCTTTCCCCAGAGCTCTGAAGTTGAAAAATATTGTCATTGGCTCTGATAGCTTTCCCTTCAGATTCAGGAGGGGACGTGGTAAACACCAGCTGAACAGAAAGTGGAGTCTGGGAGGGTCCTTAGGACACTCAACCACCTGAGTGCTCCTTTGGACATCAGCCACCTAACACCTGACCCCTGCAGCAGCACAGAGGACCCAGGTGCTTTGTCTTCCCAGGCCGCCTTTTCTCCACCTAAGGGACACGTATAAAAAGCACAAGAAGTTGGTGGCACAAACTGCCAGGATTATTAGCCAAGTTCACAGCTATATAAGCCTTCTTTACACCCTGAGTTAACCCTTAGATACCCAAAGAAAAAGTCTTAGGTTAGTGAGGTACTATGTAAATATTCATTACTGTCTATTTCTAAATTGAGGGCTTGAGATTAGTATAACACTCTTAGGTTAACTATACTGGAATTAAAATACATAAGAAGAAGAATAAAAAATTGAGGACCTGAGTTCTCCAAAGGGGTGCTGCTCCCCTTTGTGAGAGTTGAGTTGTGAGAATTGAGTAGAATTCCATTTATTTTGATGCATAAGCCAAAGAAGACTCATCAGAGCCTTTTCCCACTTCTCTGATATCTGGGGCCACCTGGGAGTCTGGCATACCCTGGCTGCCTCAGTTCTCATGGCCCAGAGGCAGAGCTTTGGCCTGCTGCTCCACTGGCTTCTGTAGACCCTTTCCTGGGCCTGAGGAATGCCTACAAGCACGCAAGTCCTAGAGAGACCCCAAGACACAGAGCACATAGCCCCTGTTTGTGCCACAGCAGAGGTGGTGTGGCCTTCCATGGGGTGGGCATTCCTGGGTCCTTCTCTCAGATCTGGGGTCCTCAGGTCTGTCCAGCCAAGTTGCTCCCTTCAGGGAAAACTCTCCAGCCCGAGGTACTGCTAGACTTGGTCCGCAGTGCTGAGAGGCTGTCCCCAGGCAGGTTCCCTCTGATCACAGTAAGCAGGATGTTGTGACAGTGAGCCCTTGGGCTTTCCTTCCCAGGGTCTTGGCTCTCACTCTGACCCCCTTCTTCACCATCCACAGGTGAGGTTTTCTCTCTCTCGGAGCACCACCGGCACTCAGACCTCACTGCTCCACCCAACAGCCCCACTGGCCACCACCCCCAGCCAGCATTGCTGAGCCCATCTCAGCCCGGATCCTTCGGCTCACCACCCCACCCGCACCTGCTGCCTGCTACCCCGGCAGCGCCTTTCCCTGTCCAGGCTTCAGAATGCCCTGTTGCTACTGCTGCTGCCCCCCACACCCCAGGGGCATGTCAGACCCCCCACCTGCCCTCCACCAGCATGCCACTCCTGAAGATGCCTCCACCATTCTCGGGGTGCAGCCACCCCTGTAGCGGGCACTGCAGCGGGCACTGCAGTGGGCCTCTCCTCCCACCTCCCAGCTCTCAGCAACTCCCTAGCACTCACAGGTAAGTAAGTGGCATGAGGGGCGTACTCCCTGCTAACTTCAACCTTGAGTTCGGAGAAACTTTACAAACCATAACTTTGGGGTAGAAATTAAAGGGGAGACTCTAGGGGCGCCAGAGTGGCTCAGTCGGTTGCACATCCAACTCTTGGTTTCTGCTTGGGTCATGATCTCGGGGTCCCGGGATGGAGCCTCACATCGGGCTCTGTGCTCAGCACAGAGTCTGCTTAAGAGTCTCTCTCTCCCTCTCCCTCTGCCTCTCCCCCCCACTCACACTCTCTCTCTCTGTAGGATAGATAAGTAAATCTTAGAAAATAAAAAAAGGGTAGACTTGGTCTTTTGTATAGTTTTTACAATCATAAAAGAAGTAAATGTTTATTGTTTTTTTAAAAACTTGGAAAAATTCAGAGATGTCTAATGAAAAAATTTCATGACCTAAAGAGAAACTTTTTTTTTTTTTTTAAGATTTATTTATTTTGAGAGCGAGAGAGCACATGTGCGCAAGCAAGGTGAGGGGCAGAGGGAGAAAGAGAAAATACACAAGAAGACTCCCCGCTGAGCGCGGAGCCCAACACAGGGCTCAATTTCACAACCCTGAGATCACGACCTGAGCCGAAATCAACAGTTGGTTGCTTAACTGACTGAGCCACCCAGGTCCCACTAACGATAAACTTCTACTACTGCAGTATATTTTGTTTCTGATGTTTCTGTATATAAATTAGGTCCATGTTTATACATTCTTGTGGTAATTATTTTTTAACATTATATATCATTTTCCCAGTTAAAATTCTTCAAAAAACTTTCAAGTGACTGCAAAATGTCTTACTGTATACCTCTAGCATAAATTTATCATTCCCTATTCCTGGACATTGGGGCATTTCTAGTTTTTGTTTTTAAGATTTTATTTATTTGACAGAGAGAGAGCACAAGTAGGCAGAGCGGCAGGCAGAGGGAGAAGCAGGCTCCCCGCTGAGCAGGGAGTCCTGACGCGGACCTTGATCCCAGGACCCTGAGATCATGACCTGAGCCGAAGGCAGACACTTAACCACCTGAGCCACCCAGGAACCCCCGGGCATTTCTAGTTTTTAGCCACTAAAAACAAGGCTGTAATAAACATCCTTGCACCCAAATCTGTATTTGAGTTTGGAATTACGGGCTTAAGGATTCCCTGAAGTAACTCTTAATAGAAACTGAAGAAGTTTATTAATGTAGATGTGGAAGATAAAATTCTTTGGAGAAGATAAATGTGTATTTTTGTATTATAAATCAGATCTGTGTTTAGTATGCATTTATATTTTCTTATTCTAAAATCCCACCACCCCAATACCACCACTGTTGGCAGTTTTCCCTGCAGGTCTTTCCCACACAGTAGTGGTGGTGTCTATAAAGCTTACAGGTTTTTTTGTTTTGTTTTTTTTTTTAAAGATTTTATTTATTTATTTGAGACAGAATGAGATACAGAGAGCATGAGAGGG